TCCTACGAGATTTACATAACTCCCGTAGTCTTTCCATACTTAGTTTACAGTAGTTGCAAAAAAAACAGAGACAAAAACTACGACAAGAACCCTCATGCTTAAAGGACGTAAAACTGAACCAACTTGCATGCACTGTAACAGATATTGCAGAAATCATCACAGAAATAATTCAAAGCATACATATGATTAATTTGATGTATAACATACATGAATGATTTAGTTTTCAATTTCCTTAAAACCCTAGAGCATATCTAGGTGCACAGAACACGGCTCAAAGGGAAAGAGGAAGATAGAATTTGCCTGAATAGGTTTGCAAACAAACCCTTGTTGCCGTTGGTCTCAGTTTTTCCGACATCCACGGAAACTTGTCTAACCTCCTAGAACCTCTGCTCCTTCCTTCTCCTTGGTTAAACCTTGGAACCCCAGTCGAAATTCTCACAAACTGCTCTGTTCTCACCAAAACTCCCTCTGTAACTCTCTCTATTTGGTAGACTTTTCCGTGTAAAAGTTATGACAATATGTAACCCTAGGTTTAACATATACTGAGGTATTTATAATTGCAAGATTAAAACCCTAATCCATAGAGCCCTAACTTCGTCGGCCCACAAAGTAACCCAGTTTAGATACATATCAGATGCTTACGAGACGGCTCCAAAAACCCTAACTAAAACGTATCTAAAACCCTAGTTAATGGGAATTACATAATTACCCTGTTCCAAAAATTAAATACTTAATAAATAATTAATTTAATAAAACCCATTAATTAAATCAAATAAGCAAGCAACGAATCACTTAAAACACATAAAATAAATAAAACAATTAATTAAAATAAACCAACAAATAAAGAATTACACCCTTAATTAAAATAAACAAACAATTAAAAAAAAAAAAAGAACACAATGAATTAAAATAAACAAACAATTGGACACATAAGCATATAGATACAAAATCAATTTAAAATGTACAAAAAGAAAATTTAAATTCCATTTTTATCCCTTTTGAAATTAGGGGTATTACACTTTATAAATAAGGTAATATTATTATAATAGTTGTATTACATTTTTTTTTTTTGTTTTTTTTGTTTTTTACAGTAAATCCATTCATTAAAAAAAAGAAATTGTACAAGGAAAGGCCTAGCCCAAAGGCAGCCCAGAAAAACAAAACTAAAACAGGCCCACACAGGAGCACATTGCAGTTGCATCCACAACTGTAAGAACAGGTACAAGTGCAACAACAGAGCAAAAAAGAAAACCTGCATCACAAAAAAATAGAGCTTGGAAGGCTCCACGCTGCTATCTTTACATCTATATATTTATTCAATTTTTCATTAAAAAACTGAGATCTAACATAAAAAAGGGTACATTTTTTTCTTTTCCTACAAGTGTCCAAGTGTCCGTGTCCAACTTTTGGACACTTTTATTCCGTGTCCCCGTGTCCTATAATTCGATAGATGGATGGATCAGACCTCTGGACACGCACCCGTGTCCGACACCCGCACCCGAGTCCAGGTAACATAGCTGTAATCTATCTTCTTCCTACAATATATATATATATATATATATATATATATATATAGATTGTGATTAATCAAACCACCACCGCCATCATCGTTCTTCTCGTCGGAGCAGTGGAGCCTCAGCATCAGGTCGTTGTTTTCTCTAGCCATCAACGTTGTCTGGTATGATGGTCGCCTTCGTTGAAGCTTCCACTGGTCGTTGCCGTCGTCGAGAATCACGGTTGGATTATAAGCTTTTGTTTGGTGGTGGGTTAGCGTCGGTGCAATGGCAGCGGCTGTGATTGTTGGGGAGAGGCGGTGGCGACTGTTGTTAGTGTCGGTGCGATGGTGGTGGCTGTGGATGAGAAGTGGTGGCGACGGCTGTGGTTGTTGGGGAGAGGTGGCGGTTGTTGTTGGCGTCAGAGAGACAGCGGCTGTTGTTGGCGTTGGAGAGACAGCTGTTGTTGAGAAGGGCGGCGACGGCGACGGCTATGGTTGAGAAGGGCGGCGACGGCTGTTGTTGATCATGAAGCGGCGACGACGGCTGTTGTTGAGAAGGGCGACGACAGCTGTTGTTGATCATGAAGCGGCCACGGCGGTGGATCAAGACGCAGAGGCGACAACGACGGCGGGTCAAAATGGCGGCAGATCAAGAGGCGGCGACGACAACGGCAGATCAAGACGCAGAGGAGACGACGGATCAAGATGGTGACGGTGGCGGATCTAGATGAAGGAGGCTTTGAGATTTGGTTATGTGTATATATATATTTATATATATATATATATATATATATATATATAATGGTATTAATGTAATAGTGAATATATATAAGGGCAAATTTGACTTTTCATGAGTTATAATATTTTACAATAAAAATAATTAAACATTAAAGGGCAATTTCGTCTTTTCAAATGTGTTAAGGGCTTGTTTGGATCAGAAATTCTCACAGGGGTGTCTTTGTTCAAAAAAGGGCTAAGTTGTATATGACTGTCAATATAGCAAACTTCAGGGGGTGTCATTGTAATTTTATACAAAACAGGTTCACGAATGACACTATTATTGTTTTTGGGAGCACCGAATTAAAGTCTTTGATTTGGAATTGAGAAAAAATTAATTGAAACTTTGAACTAAATTTTTTTCAATTCCAATTTCAAAGGACCACCAGTGTCTTGCATCAAAATTATTTTGTCAATAAATCTCCAATGTATCATGATGATGAGGTAAAGAAAAAAACCCAAAAAAACCATTCCAGATAGCAATTAGGCTTGCATCATATGACTTGCTCGTAAAATAACAGAGTAAAACATGGAGGATAACAACCACATAAAGTCTATTAACACATCATCAGTAGAGCAAAATATTCAGCAAATTAAGTCCACATACTCAAAGAAAGAGACCCACAAAAATACTATCATTGATCTCAAACTCCTCCTCCTCGTCGAACCTCTGACGACAAGCGGCGAACCGATGTCTCCTCCTTCAAACGTATAAATCCCTGGCTCGTCAAAAAATTCCATCTTTCTCTTTCCCATTATCTTCATTTTACTCTTGAAAGTCCGTTTGATTGCAGAGAGAGGTGAGAACTGAGAAATTTACTACAATATATATATTGGATTTATTTTCTTAGGGTTTCTTGGCAACCGAAATGGGGATCAGTGTTTTTATGCCTTTCATTGCCCTTTTCAGCTTCAACTCATATGAAGTGTTAGTTTAGTCCAGGCATTTCATGTTCTGGGATGTGTGCTGTCTCTTTTGGTTTACCTGGTAATTCTTTAGGGTAATTTTTTATAAATAAAATATAAATCAAACCATAGTTCTTTAAGGTTATAAATGTAATTTTGCATTCTATTTTATTTTGATTACAAAAAATAGCTATTTAGTACTTTTATATAATTTCATACATCACTTAATCATCCTTGGAAATGCAGTAGGAGTACTTTAAAAATTGAAAGACTTGATTGAAATAATTAATAGTTGAGGAGTGTATTTTGTAAAGTAAATATAAAGCTTTTTATGCTGAAAAAAAAAAAAAGAAAAATTTTGATTTATACTAACTTATATGCAATATTGGTAATATAGTGGGCTCCCACAAGTTATGGACACTAAAACTTATTTTTTTAAAATTATAAAAGATAAAAAATAAAAACAAAGTAAAAATTCATTCAAATCCATGAGTCTGCAAATTTATATTTATATTTTTTTATTTTCTTTACCGTCTAGTGTCATCTCCTAGACAGTGCTTGGGATTGGTTTGCTTTTTTATTTATTATTTATTTATTATATTTTTTTTTTTCATATGATTATTAGGTACAATATATGAGGAAATCAAACCCCTCAATTCTATATAAATCCGCTTGCCATATGACTGGATCAATAGAAAAATCCCAATTCATTGGGCCTTTTCGATGCCATCAATCAGAAAGCCCGGGGTGCCATATTGGAGGAGTCCAAATTATGTGATTGCCAAAAAAATAAAAAATAAAAAAAAATAAAAATAAAAAATAAAAAACCTTTGTGAGTGAATATCTTTTTCGTTGCGGGCGATGGCTCACTTTCCTTCCCCTTCTTCAAATTTTGATTTGTATATTTTGTATTTTTCATAGAGAAAATTTTGATAAAGGATAGAACAAGATATATTTTTATCGTATTTAAGGAATTTATTGGTTCAGGCCGAAGAAGCAATGTCACTTGATCATTATCAAATTGACTACAATCTTTTTATGTCCGTGACTCGCGGATCTCACCTGAGTGCCTTTTACTTCTATTAAGTTATGAACCAAATCAGAATAATTATTAGTGAGTCCATATGAAGTTATCCCATTTCTTTCATCGGGGTCGGGTATAGACCAAAAATCTTGAGTGACCGATCCGGCAGAACAACTCAAAAGATAAAAAAGTATTGTTAATTCTTCATGCTCGTTCCAAGTTCAAAGTACCATTTGTACAAATAAAAATCCCTTTCGTTTTTGTGCAACAGCCGTTCCTATGTGATAGAATAGGATCCCATGATTCTCAACCGATCTTATCTGGAATTGCAAATCCCAAGTTTGTTTATGAAGAACGAATTTAATTGTATTAGTGTCTATAATTGATTTCTTATGTGTAATACTTAATCGATAGAGCCTCATTGGTAAGTGCTAAACGGAACATGTAGACCTAATAGGGTTTGATTGGCTTAGTTCTTTTTAGAACAATTAACGGAGGTCAATCTTAAAAGGTCATTACCACTATATTCCCCAAAGGGACAAACCTGACAAAAATAAATTATGTCCAAGAAGCTTAAACTAATGCCTAGATTGCAAACCGAACACCCAGGCCAATACAAAGGTTCAAACAACATAGATTGTCAAGTAATACAATTTTTAGGTTTTGATGTTGTATGTAATTCATGTGCAAGTGCAACTAAGCAAGCCAAATGGTTGGTATGGTATGCATTGAGGTACATTCTCCCAAATTTTAGATAACTCTATAATTCAAACAACCCAAAATTGGAAGAGATAAATAGACAAGGAACAGATTTTGGATTATTTGTTAAATTTGCTTTTTTGGTAGTTCAGTCCAAAAGAAACAAAACAGATGTGCTCTTCTAATCAAACTCACTCCAATCACAAACAAAGTGCATGAAATGTGATAAATTATTGAAATAATTTTCTAATACAAAATACATATGCCTATATCTGAATATTTGCACGATCTGTACTTGAACCGCTTCAATAATTCACCCAGGAAATTCCAATTAACATAATACACTCACAAAAAAACCAAAAACTTTCGCCTGATTAAGCAAAAATAGAAGCAGAAGCTGCAAAAACTGCAATGGCGAATCCAACCTTAGCAAGGGGACCCTTTAAAGCAGAGAATGGAGCAGCAGCGCTAGGGGAAGGCGCGGGAACTGTGGCAGAAGGAACCGAAGAATTGGACAATGCTGAAGGAGTTGGAGCCATTGAAGAAATGCGAGGCACGTTGATGTCAACCTTCTGTCCAATTTGGCAGTGACCAGGGACACCACAGAGGAAGTAGTGGTGACCACGAGTGGTGATGGTGATGGAGTCATTGCCGGTGGTGTGAGTAGAGATGGGGGCAGTTGTATTACAAGACCTGTACTCGGCGTGTGTGACTTGCATCACATTGTGGAACTGAGGACTGTACTGAAAATCTGATGCAGCAACCACAAGAAGAAATTAGATCAAACGATCAAAACATATTAAATAAAGTAACTAGCATGATTTGAGTATATCTTGCTGAACATCCAACCACGCATATACATAAGTAGGAATCTAAGCAAAAAATAAAAAAATAATACCTAGAATTCATAAATCACAAAAAATATAAACGGTTTAATGTACAATATCAAATAATTTTCAATGGAGAGAAAATTAATTAGAAGTTAGAACATGGTTAGTTTCAATGATGCTTTGAAACCTCAAAATCTGCCATGGAAAGAAAAAGAGACTACAAAAAAGAAGACTTGACTATTTATTTCGCAAATGTTTGACAGGCATTTAATTATGGATTTTATTTTATTTTTTTTCCGGAGAGACACTTGACATGATTTGAGGGGCTCAGGGAAAAGCACAGAGGTCCAGTAAATGCTCAAATCAGTTATGGCCTTGTACAATGTCTTGTCCCATTCAAGGCAACCAAATGGAGGAAAAGTTTTATAGGGGTGAAAATCCAATTGATGGAGGACATGGTTGGTGTCCACAAAAGTTGGACGCTATAAAAGCAAGAAAGGACATATATTTGATTGAGCTAGCATTGCAGTTGGCAAGGAAATTTCTAAACTAGCATTCAATGTACTGCATTTGTAGTACAAGAAATATTCCGCAACTTTTTTTTAAAAAAGGCAAAACGGGGCAAGGTAGAGTCATCACCATGACAATGTTACAGGAGCAGCAACGATGCTGCAATTGGCAATAGCAAAGCCCCAAATTGCCATGCTCGGTGAGACTTGATATCGGGCAGGTTGCCTCATGCTAGGGGTTCAGATAGAAGCAGAGGCCAGACAGTTTCCTCTAACAAGGTAACATAGCAAAATTAGAGAGTTCCTGCAAATTGTTTCACTTCTCCAATTGACACTCATTTGGGCTGCAAACTAATACATTCCCAGTAAAGCAAAAGGAAAAATATTTATGTTATATTTGTAAGCACCGAATCAATAATTTAGATTTAGAATTTGAAAAAATTTAATTAAAATTTTGATCTAAATTATCATTTCACTTTCAAATACAACATTAGTCTAAAACAGACTTCGGTCCAAACTATACATAAGTTTTCCAGTTCGCACACATATTCAAATACAGGATTGAGTGGGAATGGTCAATGGTGACTCATGTCCAGGTCTAGCACTACACCTGTATATCATTACAATTTTACACAAGAAAGTCGTTTTGGAACTCATAGTTCCTGTATTCCTCTGTTCTGTAAAGTTTTTTTTTAACTATGTTTCGAATTTTTTATATGGATTGTTCTCTGTCAGACCAACAAAGCATGGATAGACAATTACTGCAACTGAAACAAAAGTGGTGGGGCTATGTTTAATGTTGAAGTAATGATGGGCATCACCATTGAATGTGTGCATGATGATGAGTTGGGTGGGGACGGTATTCATGATGTGGGACAAGACAAACATGGGGGTCAATGGGGTATGGTCCCAAACAAAAAGAGCCATTGGATGTTTGCCAGGTGGCAGATTAGAATCTGAGTGTCATCATACTGCCCCAAACACAAAAGGGTTACTTTTCCTATAAGCCAAATAGCCAATGGCAGGTCACTCATTAACATATGACCACCAAGGCATATGAACAGACAAACAAACAAATATACAGAGACCATGCTTCTTCTTGAAATGATCTGAAAATGGGAGAAAAATAGGTTTTATTTTGGGACAGAGAGTATTAGACTAGTAAAAGAGGTTTTATTTCCTGTTTGGTAGCAAGAAAACTACTGAGGGGAAAAGAAAGAATTTTTTTGCATTTTTGGGACTCGTACTAAAAATTAGGACTAAATTCGCTCCACTCGAGAGGATCCCACACCGTAAAAAGTTTTTAAAAGATTTTAAGTTCAACAAAATTTGATTTGATTTATTTTTTATTTTTTTTTTATTTTTCAAGTAACATGAACAAGATCACATCACATGGTTATCTTAGCCCCAATTTGAGAAGAGGCATTTGTGATGGTTTATGATGTTGACACGGATATGAGAGTAAGATATGTTGGGTGTAAAAGATGTTGGGACCATAAAAAGTAAAATACCCATGTGATCAATTAAAATCCCTGGTATTACATTTTCCAATTTTTCCATGTGCATGATGAATTGAAGGGGGTTATACCCTGTTTGGATTAGAAATTACCTGTGCAGTTTAGGGTTTTTTTTTTCCTTTTCCCCAAACCATTTTAGCCTTTTCCAGTATAAAAATTTTTGTTTGCCTTTATATGTATATATTCTTCCAATTTTTTCTTAACAACCAAACGGAGTAATAGTGAAAACCAGTTAAAGATCAAGAATATAGAATGGAGGGTGAGAACCCAATTATCCAATTACCCACAAACTGCAAATCAACACAGAAAATGATAAATACTTCACATACATACATACAGTATATATATATATATATATATATATATATATGAACTTACGAATGATATCTCCAACTTGAAAGGTCTTAGTAGCAGCCCACGCCTTGTAGTCAACATTGCCAATGGTGGTCCAACCAGCAGAGTCTCCAACCTTGTACACAGCTGCAATGGACACCTGCATCGCACCTAACATGACCAACAACATAGCCACGACTCTCTTCTCCACAGCCAAAGCCATGGCTAGCTCCAAACCCTTGAAAAGAATTTTTTTTATTTTTCTGTTGAAGGATTTGAAGAGAATTTGAAAGGTCACAGAGCCTGCGTTGGGATGTAGAATTGAAGGGTCTCCTCTGCTGTTTATAAATATTTGAACTCACTACTGATTTGGATGTTTTAATCTTTCTTTACAAAAGGGGTGCATGTTTTGATGACTCTTTTGTGAAATGACAGTTGTGGTCCTCCATTAATCCAATTATTTTTCATCTTTCCAACTTTTTTTCTCTGTCTTCTTTAACAAAAACAATTTGATTTGATTTGATTTGATTTGATTTTTATTTTTGATGCCTTTTGAGTCATTATTTTCAATTTCATGTATTTTTTTCAAATGAACAAATTTGGATGCTTGTAGCGTATTCTATAAACCATTTCCATGCACCTCTCAACATTCTAGCTAAAAGCAACTCATGAATTCAGTTTTGTACTTAAAATTGAACCTGAGAATTAGTAGAATTGAAGATTTTGAATTGTCCCAAGTATATCTTCCAAAATATATTTGGGCATGTAACTTTCCTGTGGGAGACTGGTGCGATCAGTGGCGCGAATTTTTAATTTCTTAGATGATTTTCCACACCAAGCATATTGGACAATGTATAATACAATTTAAATTGATACATTTAAGATCTAAAAGCAGAAAAGGTCTGTCTGTTTGGAGAACTTGGAAGGGAAGAATGTTATGCGTGTTGGTTGGTAATAGCATGGCAATGGTCTGTCTGTCTTCACGATAGAGAATTGGAGATCGAGTGCCATGATGATTGATGACATTTTGCCCACTATCTGATTTTCTTTCATTTTTCTACTTCAACCTATTGCTTTATACTTGGGACATGTATGTAGTTTCTATACATTGCTTCAACTACGTAGACCGCGGTTTAAGAAGAAAACAGAGGATACTGTATTTAACAAGGCTTTGGCAGTCAATTTTGATGGTGTTATTAATAGACTATTTAGTGAAATTTCTTTTCATCATCTCATGCACTCTTAGTGATGGTGTCAATTGAGCCATTCATTATTATCAGCAATAGTAGGGTTGGTGGTATGGGGTGAATATACCAAGTTCTTACTGCCAAGACAGACAACTAGACGAAGAAGCAGCCTTCAAGTTTGGTGAAACATATATAAATTTCAGATGTGCACCGTCCATCAACCATCTGTAACAGCAAACACTTCACCTACTTCTTTTAGTTCTTTATATATATGCGTTGGATCTTTTGGTAGGTTTATATGTTGATGAAGACATGTAATCGCAGAAACTTGTGGAATTGAAATCCAAATCAGCTTCAGCCGAAAAATTAAGGTGAAAAAAACATGTCTTGTTATATTAATTTCTTTTCCCATTAGCACGTTTGAATTTGCTTACACATCTGCAATTCATTCGACCCCAACTCTGCTCCCCCAACAAATTTTCATTCTGCATTACTCCAAGTTCCCAAGTTCAAACTATTGACAACAATGATATTTTTTTTTTTTCTGAAGCTTTCATTAATCAACCAAAACAAAGAATACAAGGGTAAGAGTCGTAAGACACAGGAAGTATCCTCAAATTACAATTGAAGATAACCATTTCCAGAAACTGAAAAAAAAAAAAAAAAAAGAGAAGCTGAAAAAAAAAAAAAACAGATAAACTCCCATCCACACACAAAACAATTGGCATAGTTCAAAATGTCCCCCAATATTCTAAAGATTTAGAATCGGGAAGCAGGATCAAATCCATTGGTATGCCCATTTTCTCCCTCCACATTGTCATCCATGAACCTTTTCCAGAACCAATGGCGCTTCCACACTCTCTCCGTCATCTCCTCAATCGGAATATTTTTAGTCTCCGGGAGCAGAAACAGCACGAAGAAGGACATGATGAACACCCAGCCCGAGAAGAAGAAGAATATGCCATACTTGAAATGACAGAGCATGGGGAGAAAGGCATGTGCTATCAAAGTGGTGAAGAGCAAGTTGACACAAACTGCCACGCTCTGCCCGGCTGAGCGAGTTGCTAATGGGAATGTCTCACTAGGAATGAGCCATCCTAGTGGCCCCCAAGACCAGGCAAAAGCAGACACATATGTCCACACCATAATGACAAACAGGATTGCAAAGCCATTGCTGAAATTGTCCGAGTGATCTTTGACCTTGATTCCCAGTATAATGGCAATCGCAGTTTGTGAGAAGAACATTTGGACGCCACCCTCCAGTAAGAGCACGCGACGTCCCACTTTGTCCACTGGATAGATGGATACAATGGTGGATACCACATTGACAGCTCCTGTAATAATGGCTGAGTAAAATGATGCATCATTTCCAAATCCTAATGTGTTAAACAACACTGGTGTATAAAAGACCATCGCATTTATGCCTGTGAATTGCTGGAAGACCTGTTAAACATTTTCGATAAAACAAAAAAAGAGTAAGGTAAGTTGCTGAGTTACATTGTGGTTGTGCTAACAAAAAATTTCGACCACAGCCATGAAATTGAAGAAATGTGGAAAGAAAATGAGAGATGAAAAGATTTAGAAAATTGAACTAGAAAAGTGAACTACTGTAGGAGAGATGATTTGTAATAGAAAAAAAAAAAAAATGAGAATTCATTTGGCCGACCCTATTAATATGGAATTGAAGCATGGACGATGATGTGGTAAAGAAGCTAACCTGTAAGGACACTGCAATGACCAGTTGGGGACGGTTCCTCCTCATGAGGAGATTCTTAAAGGGGTGTTTTACTTTTTTAGCTACACGGCTGGCCTCAACAAGCTCCAAGAACTCTGGTTCAATTTTGTCAGTGCCTCGAATCTTTCTAAGCACCAATTTTCCTTCATCCAAGCGACCACGCTCGATCAGGCTGTTGGGTGTCTCCACCACCAGGAGGGCTCCAACAGTTAGGAGGAGAGCAGGAATCGCACCCAGCCCCAACGACAACCTCCAGCCCCATCCTCCCTTGATCCTGTAGTTGCAAGGGAAACACAAATGACCGGAAAGAATCAAATGCAACTCCTGCAATGCAACTTGTTGCCCAACTACGTTGGAATGATTTTTTTTTTGGTTAACAACATTTAAATGCTTTAGAGGCCAATGTGTGGGGTTATTTAAATTACTGATTCACCAGTTAATAGTTTTGATCATTTGGGCTAAAGGTGAGCATGGGTCTTGGGGATGTTTCGAGTCCTGGAATTTTTTTTTTTTTTTTGGCAAATTAACCTCCTCGCTAGAACCAAAAGAACACCTACTTTTGAGTAGTAAGAAGTAAACACTCCATCCCCAAAAGAACAAACAATTTTGAGTACTAAGAAGTAAACACTCCATCCATAAATGGTAGCTATTGGAATTCAATAATTTATTAGCTAAAAAAAACCCGAAATGAATTATAGTCGATGTGGTTTGATAATAATTCGATCTGATCAAATATCAAATTAATAACAATTGAAGGGACTAAGAAATGAAGAACATGGGATTGATTGAAATAGAAAAAACCAAAATTACTTTGCAGCGTGATTGTCAACAAGAAAGCCAAAAAGAATGCCGATTGTGACATTAAGCTGGAACAATATGTTGAGTCCACCACGTATTCTTGTTGGTGCTATCTCCGACAGGAACAGTGGAACCGCCTGAAATTCATGCAAATAGATACAGTATTATAACATCATTAATAAGAGTTTTTTTGTTCGGAAATCCAAGTCATCACAAGAGTAATGAATGAAAGAACAAACCTGATTAGCGAAACCAACTCCACAACCAAGCAAGATCCTCCCAATAATGAGCATTGCAAGGTCCTGAGCTCCAGCATTCAGCACCACTCCCACGACGAAGAAAAGCCCGGCAATCAACATGGTGGGCTTTCGGCCTAGCCTCCTCGTCGTGTAGGAAGCCAAGAATGTTGCCGTTAAACCAGCTAAATACAGAGACGTTATGAACAATTGAAGTCCTTGATTTTCCTGCTTGCAATAATTACTGTTCGGTTCCGATTCTTGAATACTCCGGTAAACCAACGGAAAAAACCTTTCCAAGAAATCGCTCATTGAAGTAACCCCACCTGCATTAATTAAGAAAAATCATATGAATAACAACAATGCTTTCTGTCAATTATATTTTAGTGATGGATATTTACCAAAATTTTCTCTCAACCAAACCTAAATCTAATGGTTACAAAAACATATTATCATTTTTGCATGGAACAAACTGTGTATGAAATATAGGTAAATTACACAAATGATGTCGTGGAGTTTTTTTTATTATTGGCTGGAGAATTGGAGATACTAGAACAAAATTCAAATCCAACATTATATATGAAATAAGAATGAAGAAGATTATCCAAAGTAGCAAAAGAAAAGGAAAGATAAATGGACGAAAAGTTGAAGCAAGTTTACGAAGGCTAAAGATCAAGTTCTCAATGGTATAAAATTTTGTTCATGCTTTACTTGTCAAAAAATATATTGTTCATGCTCATATATAATAAGTAAATTTATCTGCAATCAAACTTGAGAACGAGTTCTTTTCTGTATGCAGATCATGTAACTGAAATTTTCTGACACAGTTTGATCAACCAGTTTCAAATTGCAGAGACCTTTTCGCCATTGGAAAGCGTTACCAATCAAAACCCCTAGTCTTGTGGCCCATAAAACCATTTTTTTTTTTTTAACAAATTTCATCTTTATGATCCCGAAAATGCTTTTTTTTTTTTTTTTTTCTTGTACATTTTCTTTTCTTTTCAGGATCCAGAAAACACATTTTCATTTCTATAGAAAGACAGCTGCATATTTCAGTATTTTTATTAAAGGTCTAAGTAGATTTGTATTCTTCTGAATTTTGGTACTTATCTTAGTTTAGTGATTAGAACTACTCTTCAAATATTGTTTTCATAACTTTTAGAGATAGCATCATTTTAGGCCTTTATTATTATTGTTTTTTTTAAGGTTTAATAATACTGTTAGACTTTCTATACGATTATAAGTATATGTATGGTAAGAGCAGAATTATTTATTCTTACATTGATTAATAAATATTTTAGATTCTCTTTGCTAAAAATATTGCGGACTCAGAGATTTTTTTTTTTTTTTTTTTTTTTTTTTTTTTTTGTGAACTCAAAAACATCCGTTCAGTCAGATTTTTCCTATTTTATATCATAAATAAAAATATATAAAGTATACACAAAGCTAAACAGAATATATATATATACACTGTATAATAGTTAGAAGGATTAATATTTAATAATAAACCTGTAACGCCGATGTCATAACCAAACATGAGGCCACCGGTGGCGGCCATAATGGAGAAGATGATGACAATCGGAGTGATCTTCGCCTCCAACTGGGTTCCACCAGCCGCTGGGCCAAAGATTCCTCCTCCCGCCATGGTTGTAATAGTTAAGGTTTCTCAGTATATATATGATTAGGATGAAGGAGAAGAGCAAGAAAATAATTTGACTTTTATTTGAGATGAAAAGAGTTTATCCATTAATTTTTTATGACTTTGTTGCATAGACAAGGCTCCAGAGAGAGGAGGACCATGAAAGACGTCATCTATGGTCAATAAGTCAACCAGTCAACATTATCAATTCCCAAAATTGAAATTAAAAAAAAAAAAAATTCAAAGTACTGATTTTATTGTTTAAATTAAAAATAAATTCAATTAAATTTCTTCCAATTCTAAATTAGAATTAGTTAATCCTCCAAAGGCATCAGAACTGAAGAACCATGAGATTGAATTCTCATAGTTCACTAGTTAAACACCAACTTTTTTAAGTTCACTAGTTAAACACCAACTTCTTTTAGGTTTTTATTTATGACGGATCTTATCGGATGTTTTATAGTAAATATTGATTAAAAACATGTAAACAGAGCAAATTGGGTTTCATTTCAATTTGAAATCCATTTCAGCTTCATCCGAAAAACTAAGGTGAAAAGCTAGTCATGTATTGCTATATAATTTCTTTTAATTTCCAGTAATACATTTGAAGTTGCTTACACATCTCGATTCTGCTCCCCCAACAATTTTCAATCTGCATTCGCGAACGCATGGGGTGATAGTATCAGAATGACATAAAACACTCCAAGTTCCTAAGATCAAACTATAGACAACAAATGAAATTTTGTAGACGTTCCTATTCATTTATTTATACATCCAACCCAATGTTGAGGTTTATATCAATTGGGAAGCAGGATCGCCCCTTTTTCGTTGCATCAGTGCTAGTAATGCCAATTTCTCCCTTCACATCGTCATCCATGAATCTCTTCCAGTACCAGTGACGCTTCCACACTCTCTCCGTCATCTCCTCAATCGGAATATTTTTAGTCTCCGGGAGCAGAAACAGCACAAAGAAAGACATGATGAGCACCCAGCCCGAGAAGAACAAGAATATGCCATACTTGAAATGACACAGCATGGAGAGAAAGGCCTGTGCTATCACAAAGGTGAAGACCAAGTTGACACAAACTGTCACGCTCTGTCCCGCTGAGCGAGTCTCTAAGGGGAATGTCTCACTAGGAATGAGCCATCCCAGTGGCCCCCAAGACCAGGCAAAAGCTGCCACATATGTGCACACCAAAACCACAACCATGATTGCAAAGCCTTTGTCAAGGTTTTCTGAGTGGTCTTTGACCTTGAGTCCCAGTATAACGGCAATCGCTGTTTGTGAAATGAACATTTGGACCCCAGCTTCCAGTAAGAGCACGCGACGGCCTGCTTTGTCCACTGAATAGATGGATACAATGGTTGATAGCACATTTACAGCTCCTGTAATGACGGCTGAGTAAAGCGACGCATCACCTCCAAATCCTAATGATTTGAACAACACCGGTGCATAAAACATGATTGCATTGATGCCTGTGAATTGCTGGAATATCTGTTATACATTTCAATCAAACAAAAAAAGATTAAGGTAAGTTGCATAGAAAATGTGACCGACCCTATTTATATGGGATTAAGGTAAGGATAAAAATAATGCAAAGAAGGTAACCTGTAAGGCCACTGCAATGACTAGTTGGGGACGGTTCCTCCTCATGAGGAGATTCCTGAAGGGGTGTTTGACTTCTTTAGCTATACGGCTGGCCTCGACAAGCTCCAAGTACTCTGGTTCAATATTGTCAGTGCCTCGAATCCTTCTGAGCACTGCTTTTCCTTCCTCCAAGCGACCACGCTCTATCAGGCTGTTAGGGGTGTCCACCACCAGGAGGGATCCCACAGTTAGGAGGAGTGCAGGAATTCCAGCCAACCCCAATGACAGCCTCCAACCCCATCCTCCTTTGATCCTGTGGTTGCAATGAAAACAAGAGTGATAGATCAGCAAATAAAAACAGAAAGAATTAATGAATCTCCTGCAACTTGTTGCCTTTTGAAGTTGGAATGATTTTTTTTTTTTCCGACAACATTTTAATGCTTTGTAGGCCAATGTGAGAGGTTGATAAAAATTACTGATCCATCCCTTAATACTTTTGACTTTTTGGGGAAAATGTGAGCATAGATCTTGGGAATTTTGAGTCCTGCAAATTTTTTTGTAAACTAGCCTTTGTGTTCGAATTACAAAAACAAACACTTTTGAGCACCATAAATAAAGGGTTTGTTTGATTCTATTTTTTGATAACACTTTTTTATTTTCAAAGAATTGAAAACTAAAATATTCTATAAAAATATGTTTGGTCAACAATGTATTATAAATGTTTTTTGAAACTAAATTATATATATATATATATATATATATATATATATATATTTAAATCTCTATCTTTTATAATTGTCTAAAAATAATATTCTATTTTCTATTTTCTAAGTGACAAACCAAGCAGACTTAGACAATCATATATAAGATTCATCTATCCTTAGTTTTTTGTGTGCCCTATATGTGTGGTTTCTCTTTTGACATTTCAATGGAGTAAGTGCATAGTTCAAATTAGACATCTCAAGTAGGGAAGTTCAAAGTTCAAAGGTATGATGAGATATGAGTCTTGGTGTTGCGTGTGGTCTTCACATAGAAGTAAACATTAGGGTGTCTCTGTTCTGATTCATTACACTAATTGTGTGCTACTCCACGCACTTACGTCATCTTTTTGTTAGTGTTCTCATTTTTCAATTAATGGACCATACACTAATGACAGGCAATGAAGCTGAAATTTTAATGCAAGGATAGGGTTTGACATATACCAACAAATTAAAGTCAACAAGTGATCAAAGAATTTGAACTAAAAAAATGGTGGTTTTTCTAACAGTAGCAACCTTCCTCTAATAGTGACACTACCGGCCACGGATTACGTGTATTATATAACTAATATTATATAACTAACTAATATTACTTTATACTTAAATCAACAATATCATAATACTTGTAGATATATATATATATAATTTTTTTTTCAATTTCGAGTAAGAAAAGATAATATAATACTCATAACCTGAAACAATTAAAAATTCCAAATTAAGCTAGGGAAGATATTTCAATTCAACTATTTCAAAAAATTGTTCAAAAGGGATTGATTGAAATAGAAAAATGAACTTACTTTGCAGTACCGTAATTGACAAGATTAGCAAACAGAATGCCGATTGTGACATTAAGCTGGAATAAAATGTTGAGTCCACCACGAATTCTTGTGGGTGCTATCTCTGATAGGAACAGAGGAACCGCCTGAAATTCATGCAAATAATACAGTAATTAATTTAATCCTCAGAAATATATATATATATACATATATATATATGTATGTATGTATGTATGTATATAATTTTATTAAAGTTGCACAACATTTGCATTAATTCACATCACAAGTAATTAATTTAGTCCTCAGAAAAAAAGAAAAAAAAAAAAAAAAAGATGTATGTATGTATATAATTTTATTAAAGTTGCACAACCTTTGCATTAATTCACATCACAAGTAATTAATTTAGTCCTCAGAAAAATTAAAAAAAGAAGTTCAATTGAACTTTTTATCTGATAAGATCATGAAAAGGTCATATAGGTATAATATGTGAATTAAATGGAATAGTACAAATAAGTTGGGAGTGAAAAGGACTAAATATGATCACGTTAAAGAGTAAGGGTAAAGATTTTTCAAAGAGAGAATGATTCAAAAAGCAAAAACACCACCGAGATTCATAGCCCCTGATCATTTGCTAACTCTGGAATAAAGTATGAAAAGCAAAGTGGCTAAAGAAGTGTTGTTTTGACCTTTTATAGAAAGGAAGAGGCATTGGAATATGATTTGAAAGACTTATCTTAAAATATAAAAAAATCTTGTCCTCACCTTTAATTTTATAATCTTATCCTTATTTTATTCCATACAAATTCTTAATCACAACATCAAATGATTCAATATCATCAAAAAATAATAAAAAATCTATCAATAATTCAAGTTTTCGAAGTTACACCTTCCAAATAACTTAAATTTTTTAGAATATACTCCCACCATTCCCACAAAAAAAAAAAAAAAATTATCCACATAGAGTACTCAAATGATTCAATATGCTCAAAAAAATAATAATAAGTCCATCGATAATTTAAGTTTTCAAAGTTACACCTCCCAAATAACTTAAATTTTTTAGAATATCCTCCCACCATCCCAAAAAAAAAAAATTATCCACACAGAGTACTCATTGTCCCAAAAAAATATATCTAGGGGGATATATATATATATATATATATATATATATTTAGGGTTTATTTTTTGCTAAATAATTTCTTGAAAGTTAGTTGTTAAGATAGTTTTGGAGGACCACCTATTTTTTTGTACTTTCTCCACACTTTCCATACGACCGGTGTGTTCGACGAACTTTAGGCCACACATAATAATAGAGAAGCTAAGATATTTTTAACTTTTTCCTTTGTCCATAAGTGCTAATATTACAAAAATAACCTTGATTGATAAAAATATAAATTGAGAGATTAATTGAAATTAACAAACCTGATTAGCAAAACCTACTCCACAACCAAGCAAGATCCTCCCAATAATGAGCATAGCAAGGTCCTGAGCTCCAGCATTCAGCACCACTCCGATGATGAAGAAAATCCCGGCAATCAACATGGTGGGCTTCCGGCCAAGATTCCTCGTCGTGTAGGAAGCGAAGAACGTCGCCGTTAAACCAGCTAAATACAGAGATGATGTGAATAATTGTAGTCCTTGATTGTCGTATTTGCAGTAGTTACTGTCCAGTCCCTCTTGAGTCTTCCGGTGAACCACCGGAAAAAACTTCTTCAAGAAATCGGGCATTGAAGTAACCCCACCTGTAATTAATTAATTAAGAAATCGCATAATTATTCATCAATAATTATATTTTAGTTCAACAATCATGACCCAAGTTTCAAAGTATGGAGTAAATCAAAAATCTTTCTCCGAATTTTTTATTACTGTAGATTTTGTAATAGAAATTTGGATTTTCCTCTCTTTTTAAAATTAATTCTGACAGCTGGTGATGATGGAGTCAATATTTCAGGCATAACAGCTACCTATTTTTAAGCATATCTTTAATGAGGAATTTGAACAACATAACATATACATATATATATACACACACACACAAATAAACGAATCAGAAAATAGACAGATTACCCGTCACTTAAGAGACTAAAAACCAAACACTTTTTTAAAACAATGATTTAATGCCCATAATAAATATCGAATTACCAAATTAATTCCCAGTTAAAATATATAGAGAGTATTACTATCTTGTGAAGATAGAGAGATTCAGAGAGTAATGATATGAAACTTTCTCTACACCATAATTGGCGACAGTTGGATATGATTTAATCGTAAAAAGGGCAATTACTAAAAAAAAACATAAAAATTTATATCCAAAATGTTTGATGTGGCTCTATTCATAAATAAAAATATATAACTCATTTGCTTAAAAATTTTCTCATACATAAAATATATATATATATACACACACGCAGTTGAATTACCCAAATGTAAACATCAAAGATTACTGCATCGGTGCAAGAACAAATCAGTGACAAAATCATGTATATAAATGTGCCGAGTCAGAGGAAATCAACAAGAAACATAATTGAACAGATATTACTATATATATATATATATATATATATATATATATATATTGAGAAGGATTAATAATAAACCTGAAACGCCGACGTCGTAACCGAACATGAGTCCACCGGTGGCGGCCATAATGCAGGAGATGATGACGATGGGAGTGATCTTGGCCTCGAATTCGGTTCCACCGGCCGTGGCCGCGAATCCTCCACCAGCCATAACTGTAATATATAGTGGAAACTATATATATAATTTCTGTGTATATATATAATATATGGTTAGGAGGAAGAAGAAGAGACTGATGATTCAATGAGAAATGGAAATGGTTTATGCAATTTGGATGGGTTTATATAGACAGAGCGATGGGACCATAAAAGAGCACGAGCCACGAGCTGTCCAAGAAGATAGATGTATTGGTCAATCAGTCAACCGCCCACAGCTTTACCGTGTCCACATACTACTCCGTTCCTAATTGGCGCCGATTATAGCCAATAACGTCTCTCTCTCTCTATATGTATACAACTCCATCTCTGTATCTGAATTCTGTCGGTCACTGTCTGGAGTCAGGACATGTAACTTTCTTGGAAGAAAATCGTCTCCATTTGCATCTCACTGGAACTTGTCCAGCGCTCAGCCCCTCAACTGATGTGACAAAAGTAATAAAATGAGTACTTATTGTAGTTTATGGTATATCATTTTTGGTACATATTTGTTTATAATACTTCTTTTCTTTTTGTACACTTTTCCTTTGTGTGTTTGATTTTCAAGTTAAAATTCTTTCTCAAAACCAAAATTGAAGTTTCCTAAAACTGATACTGATATATATATATACAAATATATGCCTTTGCTTTGTAAATCGAGAACTCTCTTTTCAAACATTCAAACTGAACTCTAATGGAAAGAGAAATCGAGAAAGAAGGCAACCAAGACATTAGACACAAAGATAAAAAATTTTAAAGAGAAGGTTCCTGTTTAGACACATAACGATAAAGATTTTTGAAGAGAAGGTCCCTGTTCAGAAGCTCCGTTCGAAAAAATCACCATAAATTCTGACGAGAAGCTGAAGTTCCGATCATCCCTTCCGACGAGAAGCCAAAACTGCGATCATCGATTCCGGCAAGAAGGTGAAGGCCCGATCATCCATTCCGGTGAAAAACTGAAGCTCCGATCATCCAGTCTGGCGAGAAGCTGAAGCTCTGATCATTATAAGCATTAGGTTGTTATTTTGAATTTCTTGTAACTTTATTCATAATGATATATCAAATCCGGTGGTGATTATTGGCAATCCAAAAATTTAAAGGCTGGGTTATTAGTCCTGATGGGCATGAATTCATCTTATTTTTAGGCAACTCGAGAATTGGGAAACTTGTTCTTGTGCGTATTTTATGTTCATATTTATCTGTTTTAGCCTTGTTCTCTATTTCTAAATGAACCCCATTAGTCATTAGTGAACAAAAAAATTTTACGATTATATATGCATATACTAGATTTTGAAGCTTGTTCTTGTGCCTATGATATGTCCATATTTATCTGTTTTAGCCTTTGTGAAATAACTTTATTTGTGAATGAACTCTATTAGTCATCAGTTATAATAAAAGTTTAGGATTGTATATGCATATACTATTTTGAAGCTTGTTCTTGTGCCAATGTTATGTTCATATTTATCTGTTTTAGCCTTCTTCAATCCTAAACTTTATTACTTTTCAGTTTGAATAAAATTGTAGAATTGTTTTTGTATATCCGAATATTGAAAGATATGATATTGTATTTATGAAAGTGTAAACATATATTATAGAAAAGTTGTGCTGTGAGGGTTAAAATATGTATTGCACCAATTCTTTTCATATAAAGTGTACAGTTTAAGTATGTTAGATGTATTTGATCTGTCAACATATGCCACATGTTATAAAACAGTTGCATTAATGGTAATGCATTATAATAGCGTAGAAGTCAATTATATGTGCATATGTTAGGTTTGCCACCAATTGTGTTCATATCTAGTGTACAGTTGCCGTATTTGAGATGTATTTGATTTCTTAACATATGGCACATATTAAGAAATGGTTGTATCAATGGTAAAGCATTTTAGTAGTGTAGAAGTAAATTTTTTGTGAATATGTCAGGTGAAAGATGTGATATTGTATTTATAAAACTGTTGACATATGTTATAAAAAAGTTGTATTGTGAAGGTAAAATTATGTTTGCCAGCAATTATTTGCATATCTAATTTAAACTCGAATTATGTTAGATGTATTTGTTATGGCAACATATGCCATATATTAGAAAAAAGTTGTATTAATGGTAATAAATTATAGTAATGTCTAAGTAAATTTTTAATGGATATGTTAAATGTATTTATAAAGTTGTTGACATATGTTATATAAAAGTTGTGTGAAAGTCGAATTATATTTGATACTAATTGTTTTGATGTATAATGTACAGTTGAAATTTGTTATATGAACTTGATCTGTTAACATATGGCACATATTAAAAAATTGTTGCGTGAATGATAAAACATTATACTAGTGTAGAAATAAATTTTATGTGAATATATTAGGTGAAAGATGTGATGTTGTATTTATGAAACTGTTAGCACATGTTATAAAAAAGTTATACTGTGAAGGTCAAATTATGTTTGTCACCAATTGTTTGTATATGTAATTTAACTAGAATTATGTTAAATATATTTGTTATGGCAACATATGCCACATGTTAGAAAAAAATTGCATTAATGATAATTCATTATAATAGTGTACAAGTAAATTTTTAATGGATATGTTAGGTGAAATATGTGATGTTATCTTTATGAACTTGTTAACATATGTTATATAAAAGTTATAATGAGAAAGTCAAATTATATTTAACACCAATTGTTTTGATATCTAATGTACAGTTGAAATTTGTTATATGAATTTGATCTGTTAACATATGGCACATATTAGAAAATGGTTGCATGAATGGTAAAGCATTATACTAGTGTATAAATAAATTTTATGTGAATATGTTAGGTGAAAGATATGATATTGTATTTATGAAACTGTTGGCATATGTTATAAAAAAAATGTGATGTGAATGTCAAATTATGTTTGCCACCAATTATTTGCATATCTAATTTAAACTTCAATTATGTTAGATGTATTTGTTATGGCAACATATGTCACATGTTAGAAAAAAGTTGTATTAATGGTAATTCATTGTAGTAATGTAGAAATTAATTTTTAATGGATATGTTAGGTGAAATATGTGATGTTGTATTTATGTACTTGTTAACATATGTTATATAAAAGTTGTGGTGAGAAAGTCAAATTATGTTTAACACAAATTGTTTTATTATCTAATGTACAATTGAAGTTTGTTATATGAATTTGATCTGTTAAAATATGGGCAAATGTTAGAAAATGGTTGCATGAATGGTAAAGCATTATACTAGTGTAGAAGTAAATTTTATGTGAATATGTTAGGTGAAAGATATGATATTGTAATTATGAAACTGCTGGTATGTGCTATAAAAAAGTCGTGCTGTGAATGTCAAATTACGTTTGACACCAATTATTTACATATCTAATGTACAGTTGAATTATATTAAATGTATTTGTTAAGGCAACATATGTCACATGTTAGAAAAAAGTTGCATGAATGGTAATTCATAATAGTAGTGTAGAAGTTAATTTTTAATGGCTATATTAGGTCAAATATGTGATATTGTATTTATGAACTTGTTAACATATGTTATAGAAAAGTTGTGGTGAGAATGTAAAATTATGTTTGACACCAATTGTTTTTATATCTAATGTACAATTGAAATTTGTTATATGTATTTGATCTGACAACATATGCAACCTGTTAGAAAATGGATGCATGAATGATAATGCATTATAGTAGTGTAGTAGTAGATTTGATGTGGATATGTTAGGTGAAATATGTGATACTGTATTTATGAAATTGGTGACATATGATATAGAAAGGTTGTGCTATGAATGTAAAATTATATTTGCCACCAATTGTTTGAATATCTTGTGTACACTTGAATTATGTTACATTTATTTATTATGGCAACATATGGCACATGTTACAAAATTCTTGGCTGAATGTATTATAGTAGTGTGCAACTAAATTTTTTGTGGATATATTATGTTAAATATGTGATGTTGTACTTATGAAACTAGTGACATATGTTGTGATACCCCCTGATTTCGGAATACGAGTTGATCAAATCTGCGCACAAAAACAGGGGACATCTAAAACAATTAAAGTATTTCAAACAAGTACAAAGTACAAAAAAAAATAAAAATAAAAAAATAATTCGCTGAAGGAAAATCTATTAAATAAAAATTCTATTAATAATTCTCCCAAAAGTTACAACTCGGGAATCCCGTAAATCAAGGACCCCTGATAACATAATCCAATAATCCAGTGATCTCTAAATAAAATATATCATCTAATAATAAAAAAAATATCCTACATTGAAATAAAAAGAAAGAATTGATAAATCCTCCAGCTGCGAATCCCCAACCTTGAGATTTGAACTTCTAATAACCTGAAAAAATAAATCGTGTGTTAAACCCTACGAGTAAGTTCTCTCTACCAGACCTCTGAAAACCAATAAGTAGATTATCTCTGATCAAAACCAAACCTAATAAAGAATTTTAACTTTAATACAACATGATATACATATATAAATAATTATAAATACTACACTAATCATATCCATTAATAGATTTATTAAATTTCAAAACCTATTAAATAATGATTAAAATAATAATCATACCTAGACCAACGCACCATTTCTTTTGAAAAAAACTCCTTTAATCTTAATCCTATCTTAGTCAGTTGTTTAATCATTTAAACAATAAATTATAATAAAAGGAAAATTATATTTAATCCCAAACCCGATAATGATTTTAATTATTTAAATCACAAATCCAAAATTTAAGCTTTGACAAATCATCTATATCTCCGCTAATATTATTTTATTAATATAAAATAATACATTAACTATTAAGTACTAGATTATTCTAATTTAAGAATATATAATCCTAATCCAATATATACATACAATAACCATAGATGATGTTTTAGTCATCTAACACATAGCAATTTAATTATGCTTTGGCAAATTAACCATGCCATTATAAATATTTTCATTTAAATATTGGCAACTCAACCATGCCTCATAAAGTATATTTCTTTATACTTTGGCAATTCAACCATACCTCCACAAGTATATTTATTCATACATTTAATTAGCAACTCTTCCATACTTCCCATATATGTATTCTATTCATACAAATATTTAAGTAATATATTTAATCCTTTGACAATTCATCTACGCCTACACTTTAACCATGAATCAACTTTAAACTTAACAATACACTAAATCATACATAGCCATCTCATGTGTATTGTACGCATATCCTTAATTTAATAATCAACCTACCAAGATATACCAAATAAGAATAATAATATTAATCATCTTAAATGATATATATATACACACATATTATATATATATATTTAAAACATATACATACATATATATATATATATATATATATCAATACATATATATATATATATACCTATATATATATATTAGTTAATTCATATACATATAAAATAAAAATATATATATG